ACCAGAATTTGTCCCGTGGTGAGACCCAAGCAGCTGTCTGCTTTGAAGGCGGTCTTCCCGGTCTGTCCTGGGTTCTCGCTCTTTTTGTCTCTACCTTCCCCTTCTTCAAAAGGAACAGAGCCCAGTGGCGAACCAGGTTTTGTGAGGCACCTCACGGTGTGGGAAGGGCAGGGACAGGAAGTCAAGGGCTGGCTTCTGGTTCGTGTGTAGTGCTCTCACTGAGTACATATTTGTTGATGTCCTACTGTGTGTCATCCTTGGGAAAATCTCAAAGAATAAGACCTATTATTCGCCGTTTGCCGCTGCCATGAGACACAAAGAATATATTTGAGGACCTCGTGGCAAAGGGCACTCACTTATAGGAGGCAGCGACAGGGAGGGGAGACGGCGCCCCAGCCCAGGCTGATGCTGACGGCCTGTGGGTGCTAGGGCAGGAGGAAGAAGGAGCGGGAATTGCTGTGCAGGTCAGACATGGTGCCCTGGGCACCGTGTGACGCTCTGTATCCAGTGCTGGGGCCTGGGAACAGACTGGGTCACACAGCACCTGCTTCCAGAGAGCTCATGTCTGAGCGGGGAGCAGAGGGCTGTGTGAATACAGTTACGAAGCACTGTCACCAGTGCCAACAGAGGGGAATGGGTGCGGGAAGGAAAGGCTGGTTCTGCCTGATGAAGCTGGTGGAGGAGGACAGAGGAGGCTTTGCTTTGGTTTGATGTGAAAGAGAGGGTCAGGGATGCCCTTGGGATGTGTCACCTAGGGGGACTCTCGTACCTCCGTGGGGCAGGCTCCTTGGACCTCAGATGCATCCTGTGAGGTGGCTGGGTTAGGGTCATTGTACCCATTCTGCAGGTGGGCAGAGTGATGTATGGAAGGACTTGGGCAAGGTCACCAGGAGTGTGGCCGAGCAGAAAGCAGAGCCCAGCTTTCCTGCCGTGGTCCCGGACATCCTTGGCAAACCTGCCGCAGGTTCTCTCGGACCCTTGGACCCAAAGCTCCATCCGGAGCAGGCCATGCTAAAACTGTGTGCCCGGCTCTCCGGGAGTCCTGTCTTCCAGGGGCTCCCAGCCTTGAGCCCCATGGCTTGGTGCCCCCCACACCCTCCTCTTCCTCTTCCTAGCTTCCTGCACCTCAGGAAGCTGCGGGAGGAGCCCGTCTGCAGTGGAGGAGGCGTGAAGGCGGTCCCACTAAATCGTTCTCTCTACGGCTCTTCTGACACTAGGTCCCGGCTGGCGGACTTTCACGCCAATTGTCGCGCCTCCTACCAGACGCTCACCAGCTGCCCCGCCGACAATTACCAGGCGTGTCTGGGCTCCTATGCTGGCATGATTGGTAAGCCGCCCCCACGCGCCTGGGCTCACCATGGGCTCCTGACCACAGTCTCACAGTCTCAGCCAGTGGGCAGGGGCGGAGGCCCAGCTCCAGGCCGGTGGGTGGATAGCCTGAGCTTGCCCTTCCCTGGCGCAGCTTCAGATAGAGCTGCCGTGGGAAGCCAGAGGAGAGGCCGCCTCTTTATCCGGGGTGGAGGAGGCTCCAAAGACCTTATAGGCTTTTGAAATAAGAAGAAAATGTAACATTTATCGTATGGGTCTGACATTCCAGGTGCTGCACTAAGCAGTTTACATGGACTGTCTTATCTAATTCTACAGCCAGTGCTTACTTGGGAGGTGTTGGGATCTCCATTTGACAGATGGGGAAACTGAGGCTTAGAGAAGTGTAACTTGCACAGGTTCACCTAGTTAGTGCATGTGGGCACTGGGATCCGAGCCCATCGTGGAGCCTAGTTGCCCTAACTCCAGGACACACCCTGCTTGGTGGCCAAGGAGAAAGCAAGGGCCATGCTGTGGGAGGGACTCCTTGGCGTCCCGTTCTGTCCCCTGTGGCCACGCCCCTCTGCCCCCTGCCGACCCCGCGGTCGCTGGGATAGTAATGTTCTGAGTTCAGATGGCCCGTTGAGATGATGTGTGTTTGGGGGCAGGTGGGTGGGAGGGAGAGTCGGTCCCAAGCCTCTTCTCTGCGGTGCCTGGGGTCTGGGGACCCAAGAAGGAGGCCTCACTGCTCCCCTCTCCTTTGCCTCGCTTTCTCCCTGCCCAGGGTTTGACATGACACCCAACTACGTGGACTCCAGCCCCACTGGCATTGTGGTGTCGCCCTGGTGCAGCTGTCGTGGGAGCGGGAACATGGAGGAGGAGTGCGAGAAGTTCCTCAGGGACTTCACGGAGAACCCCTGCCTTCGTAAGTCCTGCGGCCTCCTCCCTCCCCAGGGGCCCTCGAGGGCTGCCCGAGCTCTTCCCTCTTCCTCCGTCGGAGCGGCCAGTGATCTGCGTGGCGCTTCCGCAGCGTGGGTGTTGCTGACTGAACCCTCGGTGTGGGGCTCTTGGAGAGTCACACCCGGGCTGTCGGTAGGCGAACCTCAGTTTACCCTGGAGGCCTTGAGCCTGTGTCGAGTCAGGGCTGAAGGTTTCTGCTCTGCTATCCCCACAGCTTCAGCCAGGTTCCTTTGGGGACAGCCCTGTGGTGAGACCTCAGCTATCTGTCACTTCTCCCTTGAAGGATCTATTTTTAAGGATCCCCTTGGAATTGGCGACTTTCTTTTCAAGTTGTCACACTCCTAATGCAAGGGCTAGAGAGCAAGTGAGCCGTGAGCTCTGTCTGCCTCGATCCCTGCAGTCTTGACAGCCCTGCTTCCCACGCCCACCTGAAGCTCTCCTCCCCCTTCCCTTCCCTTCCCTCTGTTCTACTTTTGTCCATCTGTCCTTGCTCCCTTCCTGTACGGCCCTGGGGATTCAGAGATAGAAGTCCCAGTGCCTGATGGTGGTACGTGTGGTCGCAGCCTGAGGGAGAACGTGCTGGGTGCGGATGCCTCTGCCAGCCTGGAGGAGGGAGCCCCTGGAGGCTTCTCAGGAGCTGGCCCATTGAGGGATCGGGACATTGGTCAGCAAAGAGGCAGGAAGCATGAGGACCCCTGGAGTTTTCTGGACAGGTGGAGAGAATCCCCTCCCAAAGGGCCGGGCAGACCTGAGGCTGTTAGCGTCTTATAGTTTTGCAGGTGTCCCGGTGGAGGTGTGGGCCGCTGAAGGGGGTCAGCACGTGGGGTTGTGGTCAGATCTGCATTTCAGAAGGATCACTCCCTGCTTCTGGTGTCGGGGGGCTGGGGGCAGGGATGTGGTTCTGACCAGTGACTCCCAGAGGGTCCGCTCAGAGGGCGTGGTAGCTGTCGTGGGAGAGGATGCTGACAGCTGAACCAGAGCAGCGTCGGAGAGGGAGGAGGGGGAGATGGAGTGGAGAGATCTTAGGAGATGGCCTCAAGTGATGGCATGCGGTGGTTAGGGAGGCACACGGGTGGTTAGGGAGGCATACTGGGGGACTTGGGGTTGGGGGAGACACGACATCTTCAAAACTGGAAATATTCGGGGAAAACAGTCTCGATGGCAAGGCGTGATGTCCAGCTCAGGCGTGGACATGGCGAGTTAGAGGCATGTCTGGGACGTGGAGGTGGGAATTTCTTTAAGCATTTGGTTATAGGGTCAGGTTTCAGAGATGGAGTTTTGTCTAAGAGGTCCCATTACTTATCCCTGAGTGGACCAGTGCTGACTGTGTGGGAGGGGGCGAGGCCCCCCGGGGCCGAAGGCTGAGTCTGGGGCCCTGGAATGCCAGCAGAGGGGACCTAGAAGCATCCGAGGCGGTGAAGGAGCCAGGAGAACCTGTGCTTGGGGGGCCGGATTGGGGGGAGCTTCGAAGGGGGCATGGTCTGCATGAAGACCACTGAGAAGAGGGTGCTCGGTGCCTGCCCTGGCACAGCCCGCTCCTCCCATCCCGGCTCCCCGCAATCCAGCACTGTTTTTCTCCTCTCTGTTCCTCATCGCCTACAATCCTTCTATTCCGGCCTCTTGCCTTTTGCAACCTTCCTCTTGCTACTTTCTTCCGTACCCGTGAGACCTTGCGTCTGAAGTGGAGCTTCAGCACGGTCGAGTCTGGACGAGCTACACACTGTCCCAGCTCTGGGCTGTCACAGGGAAGGTAGCAGCTGGGAGGGTGCGGGGCAGCAGGGGTGGGGGCGGCCCTGATCTCTCTGCACCTGCCTGCCCTCCCACAGGGAACGCCATCCAGGCCTTTGGCAACGGCACGGATGTGAACATGTCCCCTAAGAACCCCTCATTCCGGGCCACGCAGGCCCCTCGAGCAGGGAAAGCGCCTTCCTTGCCAGATGACCTCAGTGATAGCACCAGCCTGGGGACCAACGTCATCACCACCTGCACGTCTGTCCAGGTGAGTGGACGTGGCTCTGCAGCTGGTGGATGGGGCCAGGGTGGGCTGAGGGCCTAGAGAAGCACCACGATGTCACAGGTGGCTGTGGGAAATTAGCGAACTGGGTGCCAGGGGTGGGGTGTTTAAGTTCCCCTTTCAGATCAGGGGCCCAAGAGGCAGGGAAGAGCTGGCAGGAGCTCGTTTTCCACGTATTTGTTCACGAGGCACCACGTCGCAATGTCAGATGCCTGCGCTGTCACAGGATTGTAGTAGATAGCATGGGGTACAGTAGAAATGGGGTAATGACCGTGTGCTAACCATCTGCGACTTCCCAGGTACGCACTAGTAGATTCTGCCCACTTCATCGAATTCTCACACAGTGAAGTGTTGGCGTCCTTGTTTTACACACGGAAATTGACTCAGAGGGGCCAGGCGGCTTGCCCAAGGCGTCAAGGCTGATTAGAGTGGAATAAGATTCACCGACGTCCGACTGTGGAACCCACGATGCTCATTTGTCTGCCTGTCCTCATCCATCCACCCGTCCACCCATCCGCCGCATGTTATGTGTGTAGTATGCGCCAGGTCTTATGTGAGATGCTAGGGAGACGTTGGTGAATGGGGCCAACACGGTCCTGGGTTTAGTGGTTCTTACGGTCTTGTCCAGGGTCAAGCGAGTCAATAAGCATCAGACATGGACTGCGGTCAGTGCCACAATAGGGGGCACAGATGGCACTATGGAGGCACATCACAGGGCTCCCCACTCAGTCTTTCTGCTGAGCTAGCCTCATGCTTTCACACCAGGCACTGCAGTAGATTCTTTGCTTAGGAGTTTGGTTCTAGTCAGATCACACACACACACACATGCACACACTCATGCCCACTCACGCACTCTTCTCTCTCTCTGTCTCTCTGTCTCTCTGTCTCTGTCTCTGTCTGTCTGTCTGTCTCTCTCTCTCACACACACACACACCCACACCTGGAACAAAGAGTTTAAAATAGGACCTAATGCAGAATTCCAGGAAGAGCAGAAGAGGTGGGGATGGTGAGGTGGTGGCTGGTGGGGCACACGGGGATGTTTCAGCCGGGAGTTGGGGCTGGAATGACCTATCGGGTGGGAGGGGTGTGAAGTGTAGCCAAGGAGGTGGGCACAGCCTGAGCGCAGGTGCGGGGGCAGGGAGAACAAGGCCTGGCTGTGTGTGAGGCTGTGAGGACCCCCGTCTCAGTGGGGTGGCGGGTTTGTGGGTGGGCGGTCACGACGACGTTGCAGCCATGCAAGATGCGGAAGTTCTGGAGAACGTGTACAGCAACGTGACTGTGCTCGACAGTGTTCTACCGTGTACTCGAAATTTGCTAAGAGTGGAGATCTGGGACGTTAGGTGTTCTCACCACAGAAAAGAAGAAAAACGGAAAACAGTGAAGGTGTGAAGCGATGGGTATGTTGAATGGCTTGTGGTGAATATTTCACTGCGTATTTGTATATTGGGTCATTGGCTTGTATATTTTAAATACATATAACTTGATGGTCAGTTATAACCTCAATACAGCAGGGAAAAACCCAGTGGGCATTCACAGTGCCAGGATGAGGACGAGCAGGGACGGGGCTGGTGGAGGTGTTTGGGGTCCCTGGGCACCCACTGCACCGCAGTGCCCTCCTGGTGGGCTTCCCTGTGCAGGCAGCTGACCTCCGCGTGCCCTCACGTCAGGCTCAGCGTGGGCCCTTCTGTGTCCTGCTCCCCGCCTGATTTGGGCTGACGTGCCCGTGTCACCCTTGGGCAGCTCCTAATTACACCGGGCATGCTTGAGTAGTAGCTGGCGGGGGCTCTGGGGCCTGCTGCACAGATAGTCGCCAGCTTAATTTCATGCTAGAGTGGCAGGCAACTCTGCAGGTCAGGGCTGTGCCACCTGTCAGGTGACCATGCTCTGGCATGGTCCACATGTCCCTCTGGGCACCAGTAGCCTCCATGTATCACCCTTCCTCCCCTAGCTCCTTGGGGCCGGCTCACTCATAGAGATGCTGACTCAGCAGGCACCTCTCACCGTGATTAACTGTGGTCATGCAAGGTTCAAAGCCGTGGCCTCCTGCCCCACCGCAGCCGCTTTGGTGCCTGATGACTCTACCACCTTTTCTCCCAATTTTCCTGTAGAAGTTTGCTACATCGTTGCCTAATTTCATCTCTCCCCAGCCTGGTTTTGCTTACTCCGGGCTCTCACTTTGCCTCCTGGGAGCCCCATCACCATGTGTTCTGCCCCCTGTTGCCAGGTGAGCATCTCTGGATCATCCTCCTTGTAGCCCTGGATAACCGAGAGCACGG